GGTGTGGTGGTTATGCAACAAGAGACGAAGGCATATTTTGTCCTCTTCTTCCTTGAGCTATTAAAAAAAAAAAAAAGAATTAGACTAGTAAGTTAATCATAAATATGGGATATAAATAATGACATAACCTGATCATTTACGTGCAAAATTAAGCTATTTTTTTATTACAAAATTTGACTATTTTACGACAACAACAATAATATACTTAATGTAATTTCACATGTGGAGTCTGGAAAGGGTAACGTGTATGCAGACCTTACCTTTAACTTGTGAAGGTTGAGAGATTGTTTTTGATAAACCCTCGGCTCAAGCATGGGCGGATCTACATTATAGGTTATGGGTGCTTGAGCACCCATTACCTATGGAACCGAACACAATTATTTAATACAAAAACTAGAAAACTTCAAATATATTAACCGAGCATCCAATTTTAGTAGCGATTTTGAGATGAAAAATAGTTAAGCACCCATAATTTGATAATACTGGATCCGCCACTGGGCTCAAGAAAAGCATTCCAAAGCAATTCTGAAAAAGAAAAATCGATAATGAAGAAGCCATAGAAAGGGAAAAAACAGTTGATGTTGTTTTGGAGGGAATAAAGTAATTGTTCATACATTACTCCAAAAATAATTCATAATTATTAATTTTAAAACTTCCATCCGTTTTCAAGGCAATACACAACTTTTAAATGGTGTAAGGTATGGTGCAAAATAAATGATTTTTCATGCAAAATGATTTATGAAAAAATGATTGTTAGATTATTTTTAGTGTTCGATAGTGCATTAAAGGTTATCAGTAATACATGACCCAAAAAAAAGGGTATAAATAGTAGAAATAAGAGAAAACGTTTTGGCCATTGTTTCAGTAACATTACTTTGATTGAGGAAAGTCACAAGAATCAGAATTGACATATTTGTTAAAAAAAGATGATTAAGATTTATTCAACTAGTTTGGGCACACCTCGACTTTTTAACCTAGTAGTACCATTTATTTTTTGAGAATCTTATGAAAATATTCAAAATAAGTCCAAACTAATTACCAACCTCTAGCTATTAATCACATACTTACCAAATCTAGCTAAACTCATACAAAAATTGAAATCCCACATAAATAAGGTTTCTTTCTCTTCAAGAATCACACGCAAAGATCTCCTTCCATATTTTTAAGCGTGATCAGAAACATTAGATGCAAGAGGGACATAAAATTTCATGGATAGGTAGTAAACAAGGTGATGAAACACAGAGAAAAGAATATACAAGAATCCAAAAATCTAAGCGAAAAGGGACCTTTTTTCATGGGTATGGTTTGAATTCATTGAAAACGTATAAATTAGTCAATATGTAAAGTTTGAGGAAGATTAAAGATGATTTAGACTAGTTTTGAGTCAAAGTCAGTTGTTGAAATCGAGTTTAAAAATTTCTCTGTGATACATGCATCAAACATGTATCTCATATACATGTATATACAGTGAATACATATTTGATACACATATGATACATATGTAATACACAAATGACATACAACGTGATACACATATTATCTTTTTCCATGTTTATCTTCTATTTTGAATTTTCAATCCAAACCACCTCAAAACTCCACATCATCCTAAAACTGAAATTCAACCTCTTTAAGATGCACCAAATTCTATTCCAACAATATTCACTCGAAAGAAAACAGAAATTTGACATTTTTTTGGCTACAAATAGCTAATTGGCTAATATTAGTAGTATTTGGCTAATATTGATAATATTTTATGAATTGACTAATTTGTGCACTAATTTACTTTTTTTTTTTTAAATATGAAGAAACATAATTTTATTGATAAAATGACGCGGTTACAATTCTATTTGTTCCCTTGATTCTTCTCTCCTAATTATCTCCTTGACTCGAGGGTAGGAGCAAGTGTGTTTCTCGAACGTAGGATGATCCGGACTTTCTGGGGATGTATTTGATCTCCAGCTTCTTGAACTATTTGATTGTCAAGAAGTATCCAGCGATATTTTGATCTCTTTGTGAATATCCCAAGAGTTTATGAGATTTTTGAAATAATCTCCATTTTTGAAAGGTACGAATTTACTTATGAGCTGACGTAACTGATAATTTCTCTAATTTTTAATGTATGTTGAATTTGAACGATAGTCTCCAAAGTTTCATCAATTTTATTAACCATTATGCCTCACCCTTGAATGCTGGTGTAAAATATCCCAGTGACAAAATAATTCTCTATATACAAGGTTTTGAAAAATAATTTCTGAATCTCTTTTTATGAACTGTCAAGTAGCATTAGAAGTAAATGAGAATTATTGTTGATTATCAAGACTTAATGTCTCGTGGTACCAATAGAAATCTCACACACAATAAGTCTGAGGTCAATTTTCATTGTGTCTTATTTAATTACACTTCCCTTTCCCAATGTAATAAAACTTTTCTTTTATTTTATAAAAAGTTAATTTTAACGGTAAAATTATTTCCGTATTATTATAAGTCGCATGCTTGAGCTGTGGAAGCAGCCATGTAACAATCTAGCCTATGAATGATATTGTTCGCTTTGGGATTAGGTCCGCACGTTTTATATGTCACTAGGGTCTGAGGCATATTTACTAAACAGAGCAAAAAACATAATTGTCCAATATTTTAAAAACTTTTATAATGTCATAGTAGTAGCACTTGATTAACATTTCTAGCATTTACATATTTACATTCATAACAAAAATCCGTAACAGTTATCCTACCCATGTTCCTAAATTTTAGGAAATTGCTATGTATTTAAAATGCTCAACTGATTTCACGCTCCACTCATAAATGATTTTTCCTTATCTTTTATCTCTATTTCGAAGAATGGTTTTGTCATAGATGATGATTTATTGATGAATGTGATTTTAGTTTTTCTCTCTCTTCCAATTATGCTCGGATAAAAATGTCTACTTGACATTATAACTATTTACATACCGTATGTGTAAGTGGTATATGCGTACTAAATAATTATTTTATGAAGTAAATAGTATCAAAATATTATTGGTATAAATTGTAATATTTGAATATATTATACTAGAAATATATATGGTATATAAAGTTACATTGTTTGTTTGCTTTGTGTCTTTTATATTCATAACTCTATGGGGTGCTAATTATACCCTATGTATACATCGCATATGTTTGAATTGAAATAAATATATATAGATCCTAATCACATGTTATATACCAAATCCTGCAATGTAAAAAATACACTATATGTATCTAGGGTACAATCACTTTATAACCCGTATAAAATATGTATAAATTTAAAAAACTTACACAGATAACACCTTCTAATTCTGAAAAATAAACACAAGTATTCCAATAATATGTTGTGAATATAACATGTATGGTAAAATAAGTCACCACCAAACGGTATTCAGAGACACAGAAATATACCAATAATACATTGTATATGTAACATGTATGGTATAATTCATAATTTATACAAGTGCCTTCTTTTCTCGCCAAAAGCTTTGCGAGAAAGCTTTGGCCGTTTCTCACTTATAATTTGATTTTTGTGAACCTAACTACGGTCATGGAAAAAGGATGATGGTGTCTAGAAGAAGTGGGGAGAGACTTTAATAGAATATTGAAAGCAAGAGATATGGATGAATAATAAAGAGAAAAACGGAAGTTGATAGGGGTGATGAGAGGGACAGTATAAATTGATCCCTTAATTTGTGAATAACTGATTTTTAGATTTGTTAGTCGTTTAATGTCTAAACCTTTAATGTGCTAGACTTGTAAATGAATTTGCTATTTTTATAATAAATCAAAAATGATGTTATTTAAATAAATAATTTTAAAATAAGTGACTTATTGTGTAAAAATCTCTTACTTTTTTCTTATATACCCAGCATTTCTCCCGTGTTTTGCCGATGTGGGATTTGCCTAGGGTGTCACATACATCTCCCCTTAGGGACTCAGCGAACTCATTGAGGTTTGCTCCACCACCGTTCAAGGTTGCACGCTGAGTGACTCTATGTAACAACCCAGCCCATTAGTATATTGTCCGCTTTGGGCCTAGGCCCGCACGACTTTAAAACACGTCACTATCGTTTGGGGCCTGTTTACTTATATACCCAGCATCTCTCCCTTGTTTTGTCGATGTAAAATTTGCCTAGGGTGTCACAAGCTACTAATGTTTGTATTAGGGTAGGCTATCCACGTATAATGGTGCGACCCTTTTCCAAATCCTGCGTGAGCATGAAATATTTGGTGCACCAGACTGCGTTTATTTATTTCAAACTATTGATTTAGGAGAGAAACACACAACCAAATTATCCTAAATTTAATGACTGATATGACTAATAACTATTAGGTGTTGTCTTAATTTTCTTACCATATTATGTTTTTATATCTCTTGAAGGAAAGGACAACATATTTTCCATAATTGAGTTTTTTTTTTGTAGAAGGAAATTATAATTCTCTTATATTTGGCTAGTCCTTCTTCTTGTAGGAAAATGTTTGGACTTCTATAAATTGAGGATCCTTCCTTCTCATTCAGTAGCGTCCACAATGTAGCCATATAAGGTTTGAGAGTCGTGTTTAGGAGGAGAACTTTACGGGACAAGTGTTAGTGTGTTACTTGTGTTTGTCTCTTCGTGAGGTTGTTCTTTCGATATTTTGTACTCTCTTATAGTGGATTGCTCATCTTCGCCGTGGACGTAGGTCAATTAATCGAACAACGTTAAATGTTTGTGTCTCTTTTAGTAGATTTCTCTTTTGTTATCTGATTTATCGTCGTTGAAAATTTGTTTTGCTATTTTTCGCATGACACTTATTTCGGTTCTAACAATAACTGTCAAAAAAAAATGTGATTAGGAACTAAAAACTATAGGCTATAAATTTCACAAATTCATACCATCCTTTCTAATTATCCGTACCAACCTTGTCTTCTTTTGACCAAAAAGTGTATACTCGTACCTAACAAGTCCCATTGCTGGAAGGTAGATTGAGTGGTAGCTAAAAGTTCTCCTAATAAATTTCCCCTTATATATTCTACAGAAATTCTTATTATCATTCTTACTTTCATATTTTTAATTCCACAATTTCACTCTCAAAATCACCTAGTCTTCTGCTAAGTTTTCTCAGTCAACATAAAAAGTAAGTCATTTTAAAAGTTTCTCTCATTCTTTCTAATTTTATTTTATTACTTTTGTATTTGTTGAGTAAAAGAGATTCTTGATTAATTTGTTGTCTAAAATGTTTAATTTTTGTGTATACAGTGGCAAAGAACGAAGTGATGGTGGATGAATTTCCTTTTCCTTCTCAGTTTATGATCAACACTAAGCCTTTATCTTTGATGGGTCATGGTAAAAAAAAAAAAAAAGACTTTTACCACAACTTCTTTAATTTTTATCTATGTTGGTTCATGGTAAAAATCTTTGTTTTTGGTTTGTATTTAACTTATATACAACGACAGAGAATTTTTTACACCATCCGAGTTGTAGTAGCGTAACTTTTTTCATGTTATTAATTCCACTGATTCTGAATGTTTTTATTATCAGGAATAACTGACATAGAGATACATTTCCTCCAAATTAAATTCACTGCAATTGGAGTTTACTTGGATCCAGAAATTTTGACTCATTTGCAGCAGTGGAAGGGCAAAACAGGAACTGAATTAACTGTAAATGATGACTTCTTTGAGGCTATTGTTAATGGTAAAATCTTCACTAATGACTATATATTCTTGTTTTCCATAAGTTGTCGACAGAAGCGGAACCAAGATTTTAATTTTATGAGTTTTGAATTTTAGAACACGACTTCCAGTGTCGATAAATGAATTCTAATCTTTAATAAACAAAAGTTATTGGGACCTGTACCCGGACTACTAGCTCCGCCCTTGGTTGTCGACTTTAAGATAAAAAATCTAAAAAGTGATAAATGAGTACAAATAAAATAATTTAAATGTCATTTATTTGCAGCTCCAGTGGATAAATTCTTGAGAATAGTTGTGATTAAAGAAATCAAAGGTTCACAATATGGAGTGCAGCTAGAGAGTGCTGTACGCGACCGTTTAGCAGAAGTAGATAAATATGAAGAAGAGGAAGAAGAAGCACTTGAGAAAATTGTTGAATTTTTCCAGTCCAAGTATTTCAAGAAAAGTTCAGTTATAACATATTCTTTTCCTGCTACTTCTGGCATTGCAAAGGTAAGATATGAATTAATGTCAATCAAGTCATTTTCTAATTCTGAAAGGGAGTCTGGGAGCAACGGTAAAGTTGTCTCCTTGTATATATAGGTTAGGGGTTCGAGCCGTGGAAACAGCTACTAATGCTTGCATTAGGGTAGGCTGTTTACATCACTCACCCTTGGAGCACCGGTATAGTTGTCTCCATGTGACCTATAGGTCAGGGGTTCTAGGCGTGGAAATAGCCATTAATGCTTGCATTAGGGTAGGTTGTCTACATCACACACCTTGGAGCAACGGTAAAATTGTCTCCGTGTGACCTATAGATCAGGGTTCGAGCCATGAAGACAGCTACTAACTGTCTACATCACATCCCTTGGAGCAACGATAAAGTTGTCTTCATGTGACCTATAGGTAAGGGGTTCGAGCTGTGAAAATAGCTACTAATGCTTGCATTAGGTTAGGTTGTTTACATCACACCACTTGGGATGCGGCCCTTCCTCAAACCCTGCGTGAATGCAGGATGCCTTGTGCACCGGGCTCCCTTTAAGTGAGTTTCTGATTTTGGCTGATTGATGTTTGTTTATAATTTTTACAGATTTCTTTCGCAACAGATGGTAAAGAAGACTCTGAAATTGAAGTGAAAAATGCAAATGTTGTAGAAATGATGAAGAAATGGTACTTAGCTGGAAGTAGAGGAGTGTCTCCTACAACTATTGCTTCTTTGGCCAACAACCTCTCTGCTGAATTATCTAAGTGAAGAAAGGATGTCATGTTTATGTTGTCCTCATTTGTTATTTGGTTATGTTGGCTTTTGTATAACCTATGGAGACTGTCTTTCAATGTTTGTGTTGGAAATGAATAATTTAGAATTTCTTTTTGATTGATTTGTGATGTTCTCTAGTCTTTTTTTTTAATCTCAAGTGTGACCCGATAGGTCATCTTATGTTTTAGAATCTAATTCTGTATTTCGAAGCCTCAAATACCTCATTTTAGCCCTCCTCGATTTGCATGCACAGTCAGAGTGCTCTTATAGAAAGCTTTTATGTTAAAAAAAACTGATAAAATATGAAAATTTTGCTTTGAAATCCATTTGAGTTGACTTCGATCAACATTTTAAGCAGACGGACCCGAATCCGTGGTTCGACGGTCCCGGTGAGTCCGTATCGTGATTTGGGACTTGGGCGCATGCCCGGTATCGAATTCAGAGGTCCCTAGCTCGAGTTATCGCATTTTGTTGGTTTTGAAAGTTTAAAAGCTTAATGACTTTGAAAGTTTGACCAATGTTTGACTTTTATTGATATCAGGTCCGTATTTTGGTTCCGGAACCCGATATAGGTCAATTACTATATTTATGACTTGTTTGTCAAATTTGGAGAGAAACAGAGTTGGTTTGACATGATTCGGACGTCCGGTTGTTAAAATAGAAGTCTCAAAGTTTTCTTGAAAATTTCATTTGTTTTGGTATTCAATTCGTAGTTTTAGGTGTTATTTTCGTGATTTAGTCAAGCTATTTTGGTGATTTAGTCACGCGAGAAAGTCCGTATGATATTTTTGGACTTCTGCGAATGTTTGATTTGGAGCCACGAGGGCTAGAGTGAATTTCGGATAGGCTACAGAGTGAATTTGGACTTACAAATATTGCTGGTGTGCTTCAGCTCAGGTGCTAGCCTCAGACCTCTTAATGCAAGGTCAGGCTTCGCATTTGCAACCTCTATCAGGTTCGCATTTGCGACAAACCCTTCACATTTGCGAAGAGGGGTGGGTCAGCACTGAGTTCGCATGTGCGATCATTTGGCCGCAATTGCGAGGAGACCCCTGTTCGCAATTGCGAACAAGTCATTGCAATTGTGATGATAGCAGGAATTGTGAGACTTCGCAGTTGCGAAGAAAAGCTCGCATTTGCAGGGTTCGCAATTGCGACACCTACAACTGGTCTAATAGCTGAAAAACGGGATTTTCTACCATTCTTCAAATTTTCAAAACAAGAAAACATCGGCGATTTTCCTAAGAACCCTTCTTCCCCAAATCATTGGTAAGTGATTCTAATCTATTTTCTTTCAATCTTTCATTACATTTCCTAAGATTTTAATGTGTTTTCATGGTGGAAATTAGGGGTTCGGGTAGAATTAGGGATTTTTATAAAATTGGGATTTAGACCTCAAATTGAGGTCGGATTCCAAAATAAATTACATAACAAGGCTCGGGAGTGAATGGGTAATTGTATTTTGGTACGAATTTCGGGTTTGGACCAAGCGGGTCCGGGAGTTGACTTTTTCAATAATGACCTAAATTGAATCTTTTGCAATCGTGGGTAATTCCTAAGGCTTATTTTGAATCGTTTGGTTGGTAATTTGTTAGATATTGTTGGTTCGGATGTTTGTTTGAAAGGCAAAGCTGTGGTTGAGCTTGAGTGATCTTTGGAGTGAGGTAAGTTGTCACGCCCCGAACCTGGGCCTGGACGTAACACGACACTCGGTGCCTGACTACATGTGACCGAGCAAACCAACTGGCTGGCTAAATCAACATGTGGTATCATAACATACTGAATGCGGTAGATAAATTAACACATGGATATACTGAAAGTCTGGATGATATAAATCAAAGTGCGGAAATATTAATACAATTCTGAAATATATTTGTAGCCAACATAGCTTAATATGAAAAGCCTGCGACTCTGTCTAACTATTACTCTAGTTTATGAAGCCTCTATTGAAGTACTGAAAACACTGACTATCTGTAAATACTGAAAGGCTGTAAAGCAATGATAATGCCCCGAAAGAACTGGGGATCACCAAATAGCTGGTACGAGAATCCTAGCGCTCTGAATCATCAACTTGTAGATTATTACCTGCATTGTGAGATGCAGGCCCCGGGCAAAAGGGACGTCAGTACATTTGAGTTGCATTGGTATGTAAAGCAACTGAAAGAAAGAACTATAAATGTTGAAACTAAAACTAAGCTGATAACTGAGAATTGATAAATGAAATGATAACTGTTGAAACTGAAACTGAAATGATAACTGATAGCTGATAACTGAAATGATAACTGATAACTGATAACTGATAACTGAACTGATAATTGGTAACTAACATGATAACTGACAACTGAACTGAACAAAGGAAGTAAGGATATGAATACTCCCTCTTCTGAATGATGAACAACCTGTTTATCTGAATATTAAACTGTGGCCTCAGGCCCAATATATATATATGTGCACGACTGCGGCCTCGGGCCCAAGTATACGTATACATAACTGCGACCTCAGGTCCAAAATGCATAAAGCATAAACTGCGGCCTCAGGCCCAAAGATGCATAAAGCATAAACTGCGGCCTCAGGCCCAAAGATGCATAAAGCATAAACTGCAGCCTCAGGCCCAAATACAGGTGTTCAATATTTAGGAACTGAGAATCAATCTGCAATACATGATAATGAAATACTGAATCACACTGAGTTACATGATACTGGAATACTGGATCACACTGAGTTACATAATACTGTAATACTGGATCACACTGAGTTACATAATACTGAAATACTGGATCACACTGAGTTATATAATACTGGAATACTGAATGAGACTAGACTGAGACATGTATTCTTGAACTGATTATGAACACTGAAACTTCAACTGTTTATGGCATACTGATATACTAAGACTCGGGGGCATCAAACCCAAGTCTATATTGAATACGCACTGAGCTCACAACGTTCAGAATGAAAGTCATAAACGAGTAATGAAGCTAGAGAATAGAAGTTCTGCGACTATTCAAGGAACTAGGCTTAACTATATTTCTGAGGCAATTAGTAACGTCGTAACAGAAACGTAGTGTAAGGAGAATCATTAAAATTCCCAAACATAGAGAGTTAGCCTCACATACCTTAACTTCCTGCTCTTGAGCGTAACACAACATTCGCCAACCATTTCAACTTTAATCTATATCAATACAAGTCAAAGAGATTCCATATTAGCAACAATTCTCATGTTTTGGTCACTTAAGCATTTTCTCAAACACTTTGTGACATAAAGCTTCATAGTCCTTATTAATGGTGTTTCTACGCCCAACAAGCCATTCACTTGATCCTAGATAAATTCTAAAATCTTAAATTTCTTATAATCAATGTCATTCTTCTTCACTCATAAGATAAATAACACTCTTAACTAATAATCAATAATCAACAAGCCAAACCTATAATTGTTCATGCTTTTCTATCAAACCCATCAACTCATATCTCATGAACTAGGGTTTAAAATCATTAAATCAATGCTAGAATCAATTAGAGGGTGAAGACATTACCTTTTTGAAGTTCAAACCCTTTGAATTCGAGTTCTAGGCTTCCTTCTCTCAACAATGATGTCACAATCGAATATCTAATGATATGGAGGGTTTACCCATGTTAATAAGATGCTGGAAAATTGAAATTAACTTAGAATCACCATTAAAACTTACCTTGGGTGGTGGAAGGACCCTTAAGGAGTTAGGTTTTTGAGAGTTCCCCTTTCTAGAGTAAGTTTTTATGTTTTGGGGCTGTGGGGGACGAAATATAGCTTTAAAACGACCCCCCACGAGCGCGCCCGTGCTCCTGGAGACCTTCCCGCGCTACTGACCACGCTAAACGGCAGTAACACTGCCTCAAAGTTAGCGGGGTCGCGCTATGGGCGCGCTACCGGGCGCGTATATCGAATACTATTCTGTAAAACGCGCATAACTTTTTGCACAGAGATCCGTTCGGGCTCCATAATATATTGTTGGAAATCAATTTCAAAGACCTACAACTTTTATGCTTTGAGGTTTTCCAAATTCCTTACAAATTTTTACTAAACTCTGCTGGAAGATAGACCTTTTGTAAACTTAGTCGATTTTGTCAAATCTTATGCACCTGACTTTCCATCTTGATTTTGAAACAACTATTTTCTCCCATAATCATTCCTCTAGGACTTCATACGTCTAAAATATCAAATTAATACCCATTTAACATATGCGCACCTAGTCCGAATGTACGGGGTGTTACATAAGTGTCGTGTCTATCCTTGACTTGAAGGAATTAGGGACCCTCGGATTATGTGCTATGTGATTTTCATGTGTTGCAACGTATATGCGAGGTGAGGAGTGCTTATACGCCGCCAAATTATTATTTTCCCTGATTTTCCGCTTTTCTTCAATATCTCCTTTCCTGTCTTAAATGTTATATGCCCTGAATGCTTTCCATGCTTATTTGCTACAGGTTAATTAATGTCCTCTCCTGTAAATGATGTTAGATCTTTTCATAGTTTCATGATTTTCTGCTATTTTCTTAAACTGACTTACTTGCACCTTCTAATTGTCAATTACTGGACTGGTCTCGTTGTGTAGTATTACTTATGTAGATTTCTATGTTGTACAAGGTTTCCTTTTTGGTTTAGTTTGGTATTTATTGATCGTAAAGGTTTTCGTGGTCTGAATTGTTAATTTAACTGTGCACATTAAGTATTTGGTACTGATATGGTGGGATCGAATTGCACGCTGCAACAGGTAAAATAAGGGTGGATTGATATGATGGAAATTTATACTGTACGGTGGGATCGGGTTGCACGCCGCAACAGGTGAAATAAGGGTGGATTGATATGGTGAAATAAGGATGAATTATTATACTGATATTGATATATGGTGGATCGGGTTGCGGCACCGCAACATATATATTATTTAATATTGTTGATCTTATTACGGTGAAATAAGGGATGATTCTGTGTTGTACGATAGGAACGGGTTGCACGCCGCAACAACCTATGTGTTTTTATTCCTCGAGTTGTGTTGGTTTTCGGTATTTTCACTTGGAACTCTAAGGACTGCCAATTCTGAACGACACTGGCTTATTTCTTGAGGCTATAACTATTACTCTCAGTTGACTATCTTATTTCGTACCGTATTTTCGTTTCTGTCTTTACTATATACTGCGTACAAATTGTAGTATAGGTGATCTACCTTAGCCTCGTCACTACTTTGTCGAGGTCAGACTCGGCACTTACAGAGTACATGTGGTCGGTTGTACTCATACTACACTCTACACTTCTTGTGCAGATTTTGGAGTCAGTCCCAGCGGCGGTTATTAGTGAGCTCGGATTGGACAGCTTGTGGAGACTTGAGGTACAACTGCTCAGCGCCCGCAGCTCCTGGAGTCCCCTTCTCTTTTTTAGCCGTGTACTTTCTTTCCATATAACTTTATGTTATTTCAGACCCTTGTATGTACTATTCTAGTAGCTCTTGCACATGTGACACCGGGTCCAGGGATTTTAGCAGACGTTTGGCTGTTTTAACTTTCGCATTTTACTTTGGATTTCTGCAATTATTTTAGTTGTTCTCTTTTTTTAATTTGCATTGTTAAAAATGGATAAACTGTTCTAACGTTGGCTTGCCTAGCAAATAAAATTTTAGGCGCCATCACGATCTCGACGGTGGAAATTCCGGGGTCGTGACATCAAGAAATTGTTTAATGTTTCTTTTTGCTGATAACTTGGTATTCTTAACAAATTAGGCATAACTTAGTTCTAATAGCTTGTTTCAAGAAAATTATGAGAAGAAGTATTATGCCAATAGAACAAGAGTAACAAGATTGCAAGTACACTAGCTACGAGGGAATAGATTTTGCAGAGAACACTAAAAAAATCAATTTGATGGATTTGAAAGATTGAAAACAGCTTCTCTACCTTCACAAGGTAAGGGCATGGCTGCGTATACACTAGAGGCGTATCTATATTGTATGGGGTAAAATATGTTCTTATTTAATGATCACATGAGAAAGCAACACGTGGAGCCGAAGATAGAGGACAGTCAAACCCGAAGGCAATGATCTCGCTTGTCATCAGAGAGAATTATGATCATAAATACAAAATAAATAGATGCAGTCATCCTATAGTATTCAGTGAAGAATATTCTGCAGCATTAAGTGCATGATCTGTTACAGAGAATATGACATTCACTACCCAATGTTACACATTCTTCAATGGCCCTCATAATTGTCATTAAAGAGGGGACTGATCCTAGGTCTTTGTTCCCTAGGTGTAATTATAAATAGTGAGCTCTACCATCATTATAAGCACATGAATTTTTTAACAAGCACATACTGTATTCTATCAAAAGCTCAATAACACTTTACTTTCTTGCTTATTTAAAATGTTCTGACTGCCTCCAGTAGCTCTGCGCACGGGCCGAAGATATCTGTCGTTTATTTCAGTTTCAAGGCTAAATCTTACATTTTTGTCTAATCCATCTATTAGTTTTGGATCAAATCGATTCACTTGTCTATAAACCACGTATAAATTTAACTGTACCATTTACAGGTAAACAGCTTGGTGCGCACCGTGGGGCATAGACAGTCATGTAATTGAATAGACCCCTGCATCTATTAACTTGTCTGATTCATTGTTCTTAGCAAAAAATCATTAAAAATGACAGATAATGGTGTCAACAACACACACAACGTTGAGGCCTAAGGAAATCAACCTCAGCAGGAAGATTCCATCAGTGATACCCGTAACGAGGGGAACGAGGCCACGCCGGTTCACGACAGGCAATATCCACGACATGTTCGAGAGGCAACTCCTCATGATGCTGAAGACGAGCACGTTGTCGAAACAGTGAGGATATTGAAGGAGTAACAAGAGGCCATTATAGTCCATCTTACACGGCAAGATAAGGTCATGACAGAGCTGAATCAGGCGTTTTCGTGTGCTTCCAATAATGCGAATGGACGCGGTCCAGTTCCTCCCGGTTCTCCTGCAAATCAAACAACGCAGAGGGTCAACACCCCGAAGGGCAAGGACGGTTTTGATGGGATGAGGGGGGGGACGATATCGGTTCCGGCAGCAACAATGAAAACGATCCCTTTAAATCGAACTCATGCAGTTTATGAGGGAAATAAACGCCCGAATGGATCAAATTCCGTGTGCACCTCCAGTATTGAAAGGACCATATTCAAAGAAGTATACCCAGATGCTGTTCAAACCGAGTGCGGCACCAGAATTGATCCCGAAACGGTTTCAAATGCTAGACGTGCCAAAGTATGATTGGACTTCAGATCCTCAGGAGCACATCACCACATATATTACAGCAGTGAAGAGAAACGAGATTGAGTCAGTCTTACTGAGGAAATTCGGGAAGACCCTTACGAAGGGAGCCCTGACATGGTATTCGCTCTTGCCCGCGCACTCTATAAACTCATTCAAAATGCCTATGGTTTCTTTCATCAAGGCCCATGCCGGGGTCAGAAAGGTACATGCCCGAAAGGGCTACATATTCAGGATTGCGCAAGGAGAGTCTGAGTTACAGCGGGAGTTTGTGACCAGATTCCAGGAGGAAAGGATATTGCTATTGGCCGTACCAGACGAATGGGTGGATGAAGCTTTTACCAAAGGTCTGAATCCGAGAAGTTCTAACGCTTTTCGGAAGTTAAAAGAAAGTCTGCTCGAGTTTCAGGCAACAACTTGGGTGGATATTAACAACCGGTACTAGTCTAAGATAAGGATTGATGATGATCAGCTAGGTTTCCCGGCATCGTCCAAGGGTCGGGACCGAGAGAAGAATAAAGAGAAATCGAAGATGATTTCAACACATATCGACGGTCTTCAAGAGGTCAGTTTTTGCCCTATGAATGGGCCAAAGGACGCGACAGAGGTTTTCTGTAAGCGGATAGATTCGCTACCAATAGGAGAACTAAATCGCGGCCGAAATAACAGGTCGTTGCAGAATAAGGAAACGTAAGGTTCTCAAGATTCTTCCTACCCCACGCTTTCCGAATACAACTTCAATGTCAGCGTAGTAGAGCTGGTGTCGGCTATGAGGAACATTAAAGAAGCACAATTCCCGAAGCCAATGAGATCCGATCCCAGCCAAAGGGAACCTAATTTGTGGTGCGAATACCACGGGACAAACAGTCACCGGACTGGGGACTACCGGCTTCTGCGCGAAAAGGTAGCAACATTGTTGAAAAATGGCCATCTCAGGGAATTTTTTAGTGATCGGGCTAAAAACAACTGCGGTCGCAACCGTGATGATGCGGAACCTTCAAATGAAGAAGAAGATCCCCCGCTCTTCACGATCAACATGATTTTTAGGGAGAATAAGGTTAACAGGGTTACATTCTCGACGGCAAAAAAGACGAAGGTGTCAGTGACCCACTGCAAGAGACACTGGGAAGTCGTTAAAGACGACATTACTTTCACAGAGGAAGGCGTAGATGGATTGTTGCTACCGCACAACGATGCGTTGGTAATTTCTATAAATGTCTTAGATTTTAGAATTAAACGTGTTTTCGTGAACCCAAGAAGTTCGGCCAACATCATACAATGGAGGGTGTTGTGGGAAGCCAAGCTCACCGGAAGAATCATTCCGGCCACAAAGCTCCTCGTCGGGTTCAACCTAGCAAGTGTGACAACCCGAGAAGAGATCCTGATGCCCACGAATGTCGAAGGGGTGATGAAGACGACCCTTTTCGAGGTGGTGGACGGCGATATGGGTTACAACATCATCTTGGGGAAACCATGGTTGCACGAGATGAAGGTTGTGCCATCAACACATTATCAGTTGCTGAAATTCCCAAATCCCGAAGGGGTTAAACAAATAAGAGGAGACCAACCGACGGCGAGAGAAATGAATGCAATCTCAGTGTCCAGTAGCAAAGGGAAGGAGCATGCGGCATAACAATTACAAGAATCGACCCCTGCTCCAGAGCCGATCGAAGTCAACCAGGGGGATGAGTTGTCGGAATCCTATCAGGTGCCAAGATATTTCTAGGTACCAGAAGAGACGGACGCAACAAAGTCCATAGCGGAAGACTTGAACAGGTCTCGTTGTTTGAAAAGTTCCTAGTGAGGAAGTTCCACTTGGGGACTCCTGAACTCAGGTCTAGATTTAATGAATTTTTTAAATATAATGTCAATTGTTTTGCGTGGTCGCATGCGGATATGGCAGGTATCCCGCCAGAAGTGGCCATACACAAGCTATGCTTGGATCCCAGGATCCCTTGTGAGACAGAAAACGTCCTATATCCGAGGTCAGAAATAAATTTTTAAAAGAAGAGGTAACTCTCTTGCTTGATATTGGTTCAATCCAAGAGGTAAAATATCCTAATTGGCTAGGTAACGTAGTTGTAGTTCCAAAGAAGAAGAATAAATTTTGCATTGCCAAACATTGATCAAATGATTGATGCAACGGTCAGGCACGAGTTAATGAGTTTCCTCGATGCTTACTCCGAGTACAACCAAATCAAAATGAACCCGGAGGATCAGGAAAAAACTTCATTTATTATGAACTTCGGCATATATTGTTACAATGTGATGCCCTTCAGGATAAAGAACGCCGGAGCCGCTTACCAACGGCTCATGAACAAAATGTTTGAAAAACAAATAGGGAAAACCATGGAAGTTTACATACATGATATGCTTGTCAAGTCTTTGAACGCAGGTGATCATCTCAAACATTTGCAAGAAACTTTTGACATCTTAAGGAAGCATAATATGAAGCTTAACCCCGAGAAGTATGCGTTCGGGGTCAGCTCCAATAAGTTCCTGGGATTCCTGGTGTCATAAAGGGGGATCGAGGTTAACCCCGATCAGATTCATTTCCTGGTCTTCAGAGAAATACCATCATTTCTTCTCTCTGCTCAAAAAGAAGAACAACTTTGAATAGACCTCGGAATGTCAGTAGGCTTTGGGGGATTTGAAAAGGTATTTGTAAAGTCTTTCGTTGCTATCACAACCGGAGAAAGGTGAACAACTGTTGATCTACTTAGCGATCTCCGAGGTTGCGATAAGTGCTGTTTTAGTCCGTGAGAGCGAATATATGCAATCTCCTATTTATTACGTTAGTAAAATTTTAATGTGAGAAGAAACTCGCTACCCACATCTGGAAAATTTGGCCTTAGCTCTCGTAGTCCCCGCTCGAAAGCTAAGGCCTCTTTTCTAATGTCACCCGATAGCTGTGATGACTATTTTTCCTCTACAGAATATTCTTCATAAACCTGAATTCTCAGGTAGACTGCCAAATGGGCCGTAAAAATAAGAGAATTTGACATAGAATACAAAGCCTAGGACTGCAATTAAGTCACAGGTTTTGGCCAACTTTGTGGCCGATTTCAGTCTAGGAGTTTTACCTCTGGCTACCAAAGAAGCAGTAATCGTGTCGGAATCGATATCAGCACTTTGGACCTTGTTCACGGATGGAGTTTCAAATGTGAAAGGGTTCGGGCTCGGCATAGTATTAACTACGCCTTCGGGAGAAACCCTAAGGCAGACAATAAGAATTGTTCCTCTGACTAACAATAAAGCGGAGTGTGAAGCTTTGATTGCAGGGATCGAATTGGCCTGGGACTAGAATCTAAGGTCATAGAAGTCAAATGCGACTCCCAGTTGGTGGTAAATCAGGTTTACGGGATCTTCAAAACAAAATAGGAACGCATGCAACAATACATAATGAAGATTCAGGCTCTGCTCGCTCGATTTCAGAAGTGGTCAATCACGCATATCCCGAGGGAAGAGAATGCAGTAGCAGACTAGCTAATCTTGGCTCGTCTATGGAAGTGAAAGGGTCTGACTCCGGTACGGTCGTACAACTTATGCATTCGATACTGGATGCAAATAGCTATTACGAGGTAAATGCGACTAATTTGGTCTAGGATTGGAGAAACGAGATTATTGACTATCTCAAACTCGGGAAATTGCCTGAAGACCCTAAGGCATCTCGAGCACTACACACTAAATTAGCTCGATATAGCTTCAAGGGAGGTCAATTGTACAGAAGATCTTTCCAAGGCTCGTTGGCCCGATGTTTGGGAGCCTCCGAAGCTAACTATGTTAGGCGAGAAGCCGACAAAGGGATCTGCGGAAATCATTCAGACGCAGATTCCTTAGTACTAAAATTAATAAGGGCAGGATACTATTGGCCACGGATAGAACATGACGCCAAAGCTTATATTAAAAATGTGATAATTGTCAATGTTATGCGCCATTGGTACATCAACCGGCAGAACCGTTGCACGCAGTTTTGCCACCATGGTCGTTCATGAAGTGGGAATGGATATCGTCGGACCACTGCCCCCAGCCCCCGGTATGGTAAGATTTCTTTTGATTTTAATTGACTATTTTTCTAAGTGGGTTGAAGCAGGTCCCTATCAGAATATCGATGAACGTGAAATGGTAGATTTCTTATGGGAGAACATTATTTACAGATTTGGGATACCAAAAGAGATAGCCTGCGACAACGGACCACAATTGATAGGCGTGAAGGTCACAAAGTTCCTCGAGGACTTAAAAATCATGAGGATCACATCATCACCCTATCATCTGAGCACAAATGGCTAAGCAGAATCAACAAACAAGGTGATTATACAAAATCTCAAAAAGAGATTAGAAGCAGCTAAAGGAAAATGGCTCGAAGAGCTGCCAGGTGTGCTATGGGCATACCGAACAATGGCCAAATCAAGCACGGGGGAGACTCCTTTCTCACTTGTATATGTGGCAGAAGCCCTGATCCCGATAGAAGTAGGAGAACCTACCCTATGGTATTTCTGGGCAAACGAAAAAGCACATTATGAAGCAATGTTAGTCAATTAGATATCCTCGACGAACGTAGGGACTTGGCGCATATAAAGAGGGCAGCCCTAAACAAAATAGAGACTTGGTTTTAAGGAAAAAATAACTTGGAACATTCGGAAACTCAATGCGGGGAAGCTAGGTCAAACATGGGAAAGCCCCTGCCGTGTTTCAACTGTCACCGGGAAAGGGTCATACGAGTTAGAGAATCAAGATGGAGAAAAGTTACCTAGCAACTGGAACGTGGCACACCTCAAGAGATACTACTGCTGATGAACATCACATGTACTGAAAGTATGTGCTGTACTCTTTTTCCCTTCGTCCAGTTTTTGTCCCAATAGGGTTTTTCTGCCAAGGTTTTTAACGAGGCATCGACAGAAAACATACTACTATGGAAGCTCCAGCAATAAGACCTTTAAATGACAAGGCACACAAGCAAAAGAACCAGTACGTAGTGGTTATATAGTATTTTGCTTGATAGCAAAGTTCCTACCAGGAAGTTAAGTTTGCTGTTGAACATAAATTACGCGGCCGTTCGCAAGTGCTAGCCACTGGGGATTGTTAGATAATCTTTAGCTTGATTGCATAAATTACTAAGGGGAAGTGAAGTTTGTTAACTAAGCCTTACACTATTAGACGCAAACAGTAAAACTTGCGCAAACACTAAAACGAAAAAAGACGCAAAGAGTAAACTTACGCAAATACTTAAATAAAAGGGCGCAAAGCGAAAACCGTATACTTAAACAAAAAAGTATCTCCATTTACAATAAATGTGCCAAACAGCACAAGTACAAAAGTTTGAAAAAGAAAGCAAAAACTAAGTTGTTGCATCTCCGGAACCTGGAGGAAGAGAAACATCTACGTCCCCTAGGAGAAGTGGGTGGATCTACCGCCGGTTCGATATTTTGTCTTTCGTCATTTTGGCCTTCAGCATCGTCACCTTCCGGCTCTTCTTCAGTTCCCGAGAACTCAGAACTGGAACCAGAAGAATTGGTAGCATCAGTCCGGGCCGGAAGACCCAATTTTGCAACTAACTCCAGCTCGCGTTCCTTAGCGATTTCGGCATCAAAGTCAATGACACCCGCTTTGTCTCTTCCAAGGTTTTTCTCCTCATGATGTACATAACATATATTTTTTCAACAATGAGGGAAGCCACTCAACGCTGAAGTTCTTCTTTATGCTGGCCAACCTCAGCAGAAAGGTTTTACCATGCAGATCTAACGGACTGGAGACTGACATCGAGATCACAGACAATAGAGCTGAAAATTATATTATACTCAATGGTCCTCTTATGCTTCTCCTCCAATTAGGCATACTTCGTCTCGGCAGTAGTAACATCTTCAACCTTGGAGTTTACGACCGCCTCAAAATTATTCAGTCTTTCAGCGGAGGCAGCCTCATGATTGGATGCAGCAAGAACAACATTATGGACTTAAACCCTTTTGGCCCTAGCTTCTTCAAATTTAGCCCTCAACCGGCAACCTCTTGAGTAAGGGTCACTACTTCTTGCTCGCTTTGCTGCAACTGAACCTCCAACTCAGTAGCGTCAGCAGCTCGTGCTTCCAATTTCGAGAGGCGAGTAGCAGTTTGATTTCGCTCGACCAAAAGTTGATCCCGCTCGGAGATAAGTTCCTCCTTATCACGAATCAGCCTTTGGAGGCCCTTAGAAGCAAGAAAGCTGGCCTACAAAACGAAAATGCAAACTTAAAATCCTATTGTATCACATATAGAAGAAATAACGGAGGAAACGAGGAATGTAACGCTGCTACGTTGTGCATGTCATTGTTCAACAAACACTCTTCCGAGAGAGCTTGTATCCTTCCCCTATCTTTTTATGAAGCCAAAGGCTTCAGGTAGTTTGCAAGTTCCACCAGCCGGAACAACAGATGACATCTGGTAGAAACCGAGAGAGTAACGCTCCTCCTTCTTTGAGGATCTTCTGAGGGGGCAGCATAATTTTGCCCCAATTTCCCATGAATTGGGGACAAGAGAAGAGGGAAATCATCCTCTAGGGAAACTGCGGTGGCGTTGAAGGATGAGAAGTGGCTGCGGCAAGCGCAGTGCTGGTTGTTGGTTGCTCATCAACCGAAGATGACAAGGACTCGGTACTCA